GCGCGCCACGCCTGTGTTTGCAGGCAATGACGTGCGGGTCAACCGACGTGTCCCCGGCCTCGACTCCGCCCTCCGCCCCGACCTGGTCGTGACCCGGGGTGACCATGTGTCACTGGTTGACGTGACGGTTGCTTTTGAGAACCGTCCCGAGGCCCTCCGCGCTGCCGCCGCAGACAAGGAGCGTAAGTAGTGTTATTACAGCAACGTTTCTGTCACCTGTTACTCATATTCAATCATATTATGTTATGTGTCATGCGAACCTGTATATACCCAATATATGAACCCAAGCGGTTCAATATTTCTTTTCGACATGATCAAGGCCAATTCACACTTCTATCCAGGCATGCAACCATCCAGGCATGCAACCATCCAGGCAGGCGCCCCCCTGACCCACATTGACCGGGACGGTGCCTACCGGTATCTGGGCCGGCCTGTGGGGCACACCCGCCTAACCCAGCCGCCCCTGCAGGTGGTGGCTGAGGCGCGCCGGGACGCCGCCCGCCTCCTGGGGTCGCCCCTGGCCCCGTGGCAGAAGCTGGACGCCATGAGAACGTTCATCGCCCCACGGCTGACCCACTGCCTGCGGCTGGGGGTGATCCCCAAGGGGGCCCTAGCCGCATTTGACAGGTCGCTGCGCTGGCGAATAAAAGGAGTTCTCAACTTGTCTGTCAACGCCACCAACAGGTACCTTTACAGCCCGACTAAGGCCGGTGGCGTGGGTCTCACCCATAGCCCTGGCGGCCTTTGACCGTTCCCTCCGGTGGTGGGTGAAGGGTATTCTTAACCTGCCAATAAACGCCACGAATGGTTATTTGTACAGCCCCACAGGTGCTGGTGGCGTGGGTCTGACCCATTTCGCCCAGGAGGCGGACAGTCTTCTGGCGGCGGCCACCCAGCGCCTCCTCTATCCGCAGGACCCGGCGGTGGCCGAGCTGGCGGCCGCCGAGCTGACCGGTGCCGCCCGGCGCCGTGTCCGCCGTGACCCCACCCCGGCTGACCTGGCGGACTACTTGAACGGGGTCGCCATGCGTGACGACGGCGGGGGCGTGTCGTGCCGCTCGACCCGCACCCGTGTGGCCACCACCGCCCTCGCCCGCCGCGCCGCCGTCCGCTGGCGCGCCGCTGACCCCCCTGTCCTGCAGGTGGGGGAGGCGGACGTGGAGCCGCGGCGCGAGTCGCGCGGGCTGCGCGAGGCCGTGCGACGGACAGAACTCCCCGACCTGACCCGCCTTCTGCAGCAGGGCAAGGTCCTCTCCTGTGTGGCGGACCAGCCGGTGAGCTCTCACTATATGTACAATGGGAGCTTCAGCCGGTTCGCCGACTGGCGTTTTGTTCACAGCGCCCGGCTCTCGCTCGTGCCCCTGAACGCGTACTCCCGCCGAGCAGGAGCCGAGGACACTCAAACTGAGCCAGAACAGTTCAACTTTGCATGTGATGAGTGACTCCGTAGACCGTAGAGCGATGTGGACTGGTGATGTGCGATGTGGGGTGATTGTTGTCAGTTATTATGGACCACTGTGAATAATGTACCTCGACTTAAGCACGTAAGTGCTTTTATACTCATTCATACATGCGCCTGGATGTTCAAATATATGTGATGATGATGATGATGTGACCGTTGCAAGAAAGTGTTTGCATCAGAACGGAGTACTGCAACAAAGAGCACGCTTATTAGACATTGCGAATCTTGTAGGTACACTTGTTTTATTTCATGTTGTGAATGTGTTGGTGCACGCACGCGGTCTTTGCAGAGAGCGTCCGTCATATACGACCCTAGCTCACCAGTCGTCATTGGGGGTCCAGGATGACCAGATGACCAATGACCATCCATGTCATTGGACGTTTGAACGCCACCGCGAACAGTTTGAACGCTACCACCATGAAAATCAGAACCAGCAAGCTTTCGAACAATACACATGGAATATGTGCTTCAAGCTGTCTGGGAAATAACCTTTGTAACTAGACATGATGAGCGAGCTGAGCGTCGACCTATGGGATTGGGACCGACAAACACAGCACTTGGAGCACATATTTTCACAGTGCCGCTTCTTATATTGCAGCTTACCCATTCATTTCTTCCGCAGAGACACTGCGTCGGTGCGGCAGCCCTGAGCGGCCTCGGGTGGGCAAGGCCGTAGGCGCCTGGCTTAGCGGAAGCCGCGACCGGAATGGCAAGCGTCTGAAGCGGATGGAGGACTCCGCTTCCGCTCAGCCAGAAGCTGTGGCCGCTCAGCCTGAGTTCACGGCTGTTCAGCCTCAGGCCGCCGACAAGGAGCCGACGCCGTAACGGCAGCCACAGTCAGCCAGCCGGCAATGGCAGCTCCCCAACCGCATTGGAGCCGTCGATGGGAAATATGTTGCGTTAGAGAACCCGGCAGGTACAGAGAACCTCTACTACAACTACAAGGGGCTTCTTCAGCTCCCGGCTGTCAAGGGCTCCCGACTACAAGGGCTTCTTCTACTCCCGGCTGTCGCAGACGCAACATACAGATGAGCTAGTGCAATCTTAATGGTGTCTTCCTATTGCGGAGCCAAGTCTTGGCAAGCCAATGCGAAGTCAAGTGGAAAGTTTCATATTCACATATTGTCGCAACTGGCTTTGGCGACTTTCTATGCGCAAGCGCAGCTTATATTTTGAGGGCAAATCAATCTATCCAATGACTTGAAAAATATGCTATGACGCCAGTCGTAACACGACAGTGCCCGGACTCATCGGAATGCTTTCAGCTAACACGATCAAGACCGACAGGCTGCCTCCGCCGTGCCTGGAGAGCTGTCTCACTCAGAAGGCGTTTGGCACCACCAATCGGCTGCGAGTAGCACACAGCTAGTGCTACTCGGGGCCTCATGACTAGCCGCGTTTTCCCGAAGGAAGTGGTGTGACCCACACAATTACGGGCATCGTCTACGAGGTCTACGAAGCACCGTACAGCCGTCTGGCGCCGTTCCATCTCAGGTCACCAACCGTGGAGGACTGGCGGTCGGCGACTGAGGACTTCGCCCAGCGGTGGCACCTCCCCAACTGCATTGGAGCCGTTGACGGAAAACACCTGGCGAAGCCGGCAGGCACAGGGAGCCTCCACTACAACTACAAAGGCTTTTCAGCGTTCTAATCCTGGCTGTCGCAGACGCAACATACAGATGAGCTTGTGCAATCTTAATTGCGCGCCTGTGTAGGCGTATTTCTCAATAAGTTGATATGTTATGATAATAAGCTGGGGAGACCGTGACGGGCGGCACGCCACCGACGCCCAGAATGCGGCCCAGCGTGACCGATTCTCACGGCTCGTAAAAGAGTGCTCCATTCAGTCGTGCCTCATGGCGAAACCAAAGAGCCCCACAAAGCTGGTAGTCGTCTTGGTGAAGGGTCATGTCAATAAATGGGGCCACCTGTTTCTGCGAAAAAAAAGCTCAAAGCGAGCGGCAAAGAAAAAAAAACACGGCAAAGGTCCTGGCACGTCACTTCAGCGCCGCCCAGCGGGCCATGGGTACCGGCGGGCGCATATCCCGCCGCCAGCCACAGAACGGTGGTCCCGTCCGTCCCACCGGCCCGAGCGAGCGGCCTGGCGCCGCTGCCGGACATGCGTCCATCACGATGCTAGTCGGGAAGTGATGTCGCACGGCAGCAGCCGGGCGCAGGCAACGGCAGCGACTCAAATTGACAGCCTCAGCCCTCAGGGCTACTTAATATCTGCCTTTTCAGCTGGATCTTCAGTGTCAAATTATTTGTAGAGTATCTCTGTAGAGTATCTGTAGAGTATGCATTTGTTTGTTAATTGGGGCTTTAGGGCGCCGACTACTTAGGTCATTTTGCGCCCATAGAGTATGTACATTTTGTGGTGCTTTGATTCTGCCTTTTCCCTTAAGGAATGTTGCCATGCACATTTATCTATTCATTGCATTATACCTATTAACTACCATAAGACTTACTAATTGACCGTGTTTTTGCAACATGAATGAGTATTCTTCCTTTTATAGACCTGAGTAGATCCTTGACAATTCTAATTTTTTTTGTGCTCATTATTATCTGAATGACTCAGAAAACACTTTTATTTAGTACAGTATGATGACACGCAATCAGCAGTTTCGATATGCGACAATGTCTGCACATCCCACAACACCCATTATCAACAAACAAATAGTTTTATCACTAATACAAGACGGACAAAAACAATGTCATCATGCCCCATACCCATTCTACAAAAACCTTTCGTAGAACAACATGTATGCCGACGCCCTCAGCACCCTGTCTAATGTCACTTCAGTGACCTGGGTGTCGCTCACATGAAACCACCGGCCTGCTTCCGGCTCCATATCCGGCTTGAGCTCGTCTGCCTCCGGCTGACTGGCTCTGGCCGGGGACGATCCATACGTGGCCTCCGGTTGGATCTGTGTCGCGCACTGCCCTGCTCGCTCACATGCCAGGGCGAACGCGTCTGTGACGAGCGTGGTGAGCAGCGCCGGGTTGACCGTGAGCTGGCTGTGCCGGCGTCGGACGCGCACATAGGCTGTATAGTGGCCACTGGTCAGTCGACCGCTGTGCTCGACAACGCCGAACAGTGAATAGAGCACCTGCCGCTGGCCGTCCCGCATCTGAGGCAGGTCCTGACCAATGCGGGAAATGTGAATTTTGGTCCTGGTCCCGGAGAATAATATTTGTCCAGAGAACAAGCCAGCTTTTAGAACACTCAACAGGAAAGTCATATGTTTGGCCTGCTAAATGTGATAATTGATAAATTGTGTTCTCTCAATGCTATAACTGCATGTTTTAGGCGCAATAATAGCAGTTTTTAATCACACAGGCTGGAAACTTAAGAGATTTCAGGTGCCAGAGTATAAATTTGTAAGGGAGAACAAAATTGCTTGGACCCGACTGGGAACAGCCAAGGGTCTTATTTCCAACATTGGTCCTGACTGATAGAGGAGCAGAAGGGGGCCAGATCGAACCGCTCGCAGAACTGGACATGTCGGTTCACTTTCCGTAGACTGGAACCACTCATCTAGAACCGCTTCAGGTGGATGGTCAGCACCGGCGGCGGACTGTAGATGAGCAGCTGCTTGGTGGCGTTACTGTACATAGTGCCGAACTTCTCAGATGCTGGTTCAGCCGCTGTGAGCCGTTTGTTGCGCAGCTCCGTGCAGTTGTCGCAGCCGAACTTGTTGTTGCCGTCGAGCAGCTCGGGCGCCGTATACTGTTTCAGACAGGTGAGTAGGCTGCACTCCCCGGCGGCCGCCTGGTAGTGCGGCGCGAGCGTGGTTAGCGCTCGACTGAGCCATTCACAGCGGTTCGGCGGTGGTGGTCGGTCCAACTCGTCTGAGGCACCAGTCGTTGGAGTGGGATCGTCTCCCTGACCGGACGCCGCTCCTTCGGCCGGAACAGACTCGTTGGGCGCGCGGGTCATTCCGTTCGGCACAGTCTCAGTCCGCTGGGACTGGTCACTGGCCCTGCAGGGCACGAGTATGTGGTCACTGCTATCCTCGTCGCACGCCCCCGTGACACACTGCTTCCTCGGCCGGGACGGTTTGTAGTCCACAACGGGCAGAGAGAGGTCGAGGAATGACTCCAAGTGGTAAGTGCGCTCTGTGCACGCCTGGCACACCACCGCGCTGACCAGCTGACCGCTAAATATAGTGTCAATCGTTGTGTGTGACACCTGGCGGCTCAGCGTCTCGGCGCGCGCCTTCAGGTGATCAGGAATCTCGATGGAGTCGGAGTTGGCTGACAGCCCTAGACCGAGCAGGATCTGGCTCTGGCGCCGCTGCAGGTCCTCGAGTCGCGTCTGCTGCATCAGCTCCCTCAGTAGCTCGAGAGCATCCTGCTGGTCACAGCTGGCAAACTGGGGCACTTTCAGTGCGATGTTCTTGAGGAGATTGCTGGGGGAGACGGTGAACCCAGTGCGTGTGGTGTGCATCTGTTCCAGGAAGCCAAAGAGTGATTTGGTGATCGGTCCAGCCTCCGGTAGCACCAGCTCCATCGTCTCGCCGTCAGCGCTGACTGCAGCTTTCCGCCCGGAGCGGCTGTTGATGTCCAGGTAATGTGTCAGGTAGTGACACTGACTCAGACACTGTAGCACCGAGTTCAGGTAGCACGAGTTGCCCAGGTTGATGAGACCCTTAACCTTCGGTAGCGAATCATTATCACTGGTCCCCCTACCGACGCCGTTCTGGGGCAGTTTATAGTCCGTGCACTCATGGTTGGAGCTCGGCGTGATTTGGCGTTTGAGGAGGGACGGCGGTGGCTGCTGCGCCTGGAGAGTGGCAATCCGGTTGGCAGTGCAGCTGTCCAACAGGCAGACGTCATCCCCCTTCTGGGTCAGGAGCGCGCTCGAAGATGGCTCCTGTGGCGGTGTCGACTGCTCGGTCGGCTGTCCCTCGGGGTGCTGACTCTTGAACGGCGGCTGCGGAAGCGGCAAGGTCGGCTGTAGCGTACCCTGAGCGTTTTGCTGCAAGTCGCCACTCGGCATGGGGTCTGTGTCCGGCGTGACGCGTCGTGACGGCCTGTTTCCACCTGTGGCGTGGCTCTCTTCTGACCGGGAAGTCAAAAGCACGGACGCAGCATTGCCGCGGATAATCGCCAACGAGCACCGCTGGAACAGCCACTCTGTCTCCCTCTTCTCACCGGTGACAGACGCAAGTCGAGCGCCCAATTCCTTGAGGAAGGCCTTGGTTGCTGGGCCACACGATCCGCTGGTCTCAAACGCGACAGGCTCAAACCTGTAGCGTGGGCAGAGATGGGCGTATTTCCTTCTTTTTTCCTCCTCAGCCGCTTTAGCCGCACCGCCTGCTGCTGTTGCTGCAGCGGATAGACGCGACTGGGCGTAGGAGTTCACGCAAGTGGCATCCCACAGCAGGCTTTTCCCGTCAGAAAATGGGAACAGGGTCATTCCGTCTGGTCTTTTTCCGTCTCTAAGCTCGACGCCATGCGGCTCCAGGATCGCCGATAAATGTCATGCGGTGCGGACAATTCTAGTTAAGACCAAACTCTTGAAATGCTGAGGTTCATGTGTAACAAGGACGAGCACTTCCTCAGCAGTTCGCTGCTCGTGAACCCCGAAACCATCCCACTCTTCGCCATCACGGGAACTTCAAAGCAGTCGCACATCTCTCAGAGCAAAAACATTTCTCACATCCCCGCCGAAGTAGAGCTCGGCCTTCAAATCCCCAAAGCAGAAGCACCAGCCGCTTGTGCTTCTGAAAGCGTCCTAGATTGGTGTGTGCAGTCTAAATATGATTTTACTCAATAATAGGCGCTAGCTTGTCTCCGCAAATCACTTTCTATCAGCTTTCCCTACGAGGAGCAATATGTATCATATCGTGCAATGCAGTTCGAGCTCTGCTGGTAAAATCATTTGTGTATGTATAGCTCTTTGTGTTGCCAGTCTCAGGATTTTGGTTATGACGATACGGAGCGCTTTATGAAAAGATGAAAAGATGGAGGCTTCATGCATACCAGCCCATTCTCGCTCCGCCGCTCCATCGACGGATACATAGGGACCACTCCACTCGGTCAAGGCGCTCAGGAGCGGCGCGCTCCTGATAGACACTAAAAGAGAAAAACAAACTCGTCGAATGATCCACAAGGTCTCCTTCAGAGGCACTCCTAAGTCCTAAAACGGTCAGCCTGGCCGCCCGTCTTTACTCGGAGCTCCTTAAAGAGCTCCAGACACAGGGCGCCATCCGGGTGCAACGTCTCCGCTCTCGCGACTTGAAAAACTTGGGACCGACCAATATCGGCTAGTACACTCGTTCGTCAAGTTGAACTCCATCACTGAGCCCATTCGATACCCTCTGCCCAACATGCTCCAGGTTTCGGAGGATTTGGGGCGACATAAAGGGTGGTTCTCGTCCATGGATATGTCCAAGTCCTTCTGGCAACTGCGTATCCAGCCCGAGTGTGCAAAATACGCGTCATTTACCACAGAGTTGGGGGACTTCACGCCCAACGTGGTACTCATGGGCCTGAAAAGCTCCAGCGAAACCCTGCAACGAGTAGTTGATCAAATCCCGTGCTGGCAACTGGGAAGGTTAAATGTTACCTGGATGACCTGATATGCGCCACACCAGATCCTGCACCATCCTGCAGCATCAATATCTGAAAACATCAATTCCTTTTCGATCCTGCCTGTCAGGCACCTTTCTGACCTTCCCCTTGCTCTTGCAACCACCGGACGCCATATGAGCCGGTTTACCGTAACTTTTGATCTAACCTTTAACACTTAAGTCGGAATAGCATAGCCGATATAATGTAACTTAAAACGGATGATCTGGCAATTGCCAGCAAGTAACTTGCCCCTACTCCGACTAGGGCTGTAGCCCGTCGGAAGCAAAATTATTTTAAAAAAAAGCTTCTTGTTCACCGTCTGGGACTGCGGCAATGCCGGCAACACGCAGGCGGACGCACACGCCAAGCGTGCACTCCAGCTACCACAGCTGGTCCACATCCCACTCTCGCTCAAAGACTTCAGACCTATTCTCTCAGCCCAACTACACAAACACTACCAATCAATATGGAACAACACTCGAACCGCACTGCAAACCATTCAGCCACGCATTGGACACTGGCACTCCAAGAATATGAATTCACGCAGGAACGAGAGGGCTGTCACACACCTTCGCATTGGACACACTGCTATCACACATAACTTATAACTACATCATCCGAAGAAGTCCGAGACCAAAATGCTGGGTTATCTGGGTGGGTGGACTGGGTGGGTTATCAAAATTGGATATGCACTTTTATTTGGCACCAATCCGCCACATTGAACGCCCTGCTGGCGTTTGAACGTTCTACAGAGACGAGGAGAGGCAACTGGAGGCAGATAGTGGCAGTATCTGTCAACAGTATCCATTAACGCGAGCAAATCGCAACTCATGATATCCAGCAGCCGTCAAAATCTCAAAAACTTGCCCCCAGTCGTCGTATCGCTTCGTGACGCGGAGCTGGAACCTTAAGAACAGGCAGGGAACCTCGGCGTGGTCTTTGACAGCAGTCTGACCTGGGAAGCCCATGTATCTGAGCTCAGCCGGAGGTGCGTGGTCCTGCTCATCGGCCTCTCCCATGTGCGGCACTGTCTTTCCGATGGGGTCATCAAAACCATTGTCACAGCTCTAGTCACCTCCCGAGAATCTCCTGAAAATCAAAGTTTTGACACACAGTCGCAACGGAGCTCAACAAGGTGGACGGCACCGTAAAAAGCGGTGCCTTCACGGAATTCACCAACGCTGATCAGGGAGTCGTCAAGGTCCAAAGGCTGAGATCCCGCGACATCCAGAACATGGGCCCAAGCCGCACGATAAGACTGGTTCGCTGGTCGTGACCTACCCCAGGCCACAGACGGGCAGAGTGTAGCGGTCTGACCCCCGACCCCCCACAGACGATCTGCGGGGCTGTAGGAGGGTTCGGCCGCTTCCAGCAGCTCGTCGTTGGGGCGGCGGTCGTCGGACCAGGGGTGCCAGCCCTCCAAAGGTACGCCCTTAACATACGTGACCGAAAAAAAAAACACTCAAATTTGGGCAGCGAGTGAGTTGAGGTGCAGACAGGTGATATACCGCCCAGGCGCAGTATATCACCTGGGCTCGGCTTTGAGGACTCGACTTGTGTCCTCAAAGCCGAGTACTACGAATTCGGACGTGAGCAAAGAAAAAATTTGTTGGTTCAAGTTTCTTCTTCAGTCCGAATGCCTGAGCGTGTCATGCAGGAGCCTCTGCTGCCAGAAGAATCGCCCGACAGCCTGCGCACCCTCGGGAACCGACTGCCAACCGACGAAGACTTCAGGAAAGCACTAGGCACTGGTATGAAGTTAAGAAATCGGGCGAAAAACGTCCGCGCGGTTATGCGCGCCACAGTTTCGACAACACTGTCAGAGAAGCTTTCCCTCAAGAGGAAAAAACGGAAAACCCGATAGAGGGCACCACCCTCTTCGGCCTCATCTGCTGTAAGTAGCAAAATGATTACTTGTCTCACTCAGTCGCTAGCCCAAAATGGCGCAGGCCTCGAAGCGTAGACCCCGAAGGAAAATGGCGCAGGCCTCGAAGCGTAGACCCCGAAGGATGTTGTGTGTCCCTTATAATTCACAGGTGCTATTTGCATAATGGCGGAGTGCCAATTCCCTGCCTCGTTCTCCCAACTGTAATCGTAGAAAAAAAATCGGATTTTCGGAAAGCGCTGCAAGAATAGTGGTCAAGCAGCGGCAACGCAACTGCTAATTGATGTACCTCCAACAAACCCCTGTCCACGGTAGCCCCGGTAGCCCAAGGCCGTCTACTCACATTCTAATCGGTCCAGCACCGCCCTGAGCAGACTGCACCCGAGAAGTGCGCGGCGCAGAGATAACGGGAGAGCATCAGACGCCCGGGAAGCCGCAAACAACATGGAAGCGAGGCGTATCAAAAATCGAAACAAAATTGTCACAACCATTGACCTCTATAATAACCTACTCAATGAGGCCGGTTACGCCTATGTTCTGACGTATCAGATCTCGCAAGACCACTTCGAACTCCACTTTGGTAGGGTAAGACGGACGGGGGATTAAACAATAATCCCAACGCTTGGCAGCTGCGTCAGGCGGTGAGAAAGTTGATCCTGCACAACTTCATCACGCCCTCGTTCGCGGGGAACAGCTCGCCCGCGGACGAGGAAGGGGATGGACTGCTGCAAATCCAACGTGTAAGGAGACGATGTGTCAGCGAGTCGACGCAGGGCATCCCTGCAGCGGTGCAACACATCCTGGAGAATCACACACCCACAGCGTTTACGCTGAGCTGCACTGCCTACATAGCAGGTTATGCATGCCGAAAGATTGTCGAGGATATGGCCGTTCGGTGTGCAGCATGTGCGAGTATCCTGCTCACCATTGAACCTGTGATCTGCCTCCTCCTGAGGAAGCAGAGCTTGTGAAGATGAGCTCCTTTTTCACGCAGAGCTGAAGGTACGAAAAGGGTGATAAAATCGTCGGGGGACATATTCCAGGAATTTTTAACAGTTAAAAGTCTAACGCTGAAAGACCTACCTACAGTACAGTAATACTACTCTCAACGAAACTGCTAGGGAGTTTTTCCTTACTGTCAAGCGCAAGGATAGAGAAAAATATAAAACGAAAAGTATCCACTCACTGAGGTACGGAATCAAACGATTGATCACCAATCAACCAGGAAAATACATAAGTGAAGAAGGAAATTTTCCTTTGAGTATCTATAGATGCTTTCAAGGTCGCAATGTTCTTATCCAGGAAGAACGGGCGAGGAGCAGTTGACCACAAGGAGCCAATAAGCCGAGGCGACAGAGAAAAAAAAACTGAACATTTACACGCAAAACTACTCCTCGCCAATCCGACTCCAGCAGAAAGTGTTGGATGTGATGTGATGAGAAATGTCATGAAATAAATACATCATTGAATTTCAAACAAATTGTGTGTTATTATGCTGACATGTTTTGTCATATAGCTACATACGAGACGAGGTAAAC